TGGTTGCAAGCATACATTGACAGAGAACTTGCAGAGGTTCAAGCCGGATTCAGAAGAGGCTGTTGAACAAGGGATATCATTGCTGATGTCCGATGGGTCTTGGCTGAAAGCAGAGACTATCAAAAAGATATTTACCTGTGCTTTATTGACTACACAAAGGCTTCTGATTGTGTGGGTCATGTCAAGTTATGGATAACATTGTGAAGTATGAATATTCCAAAACACTTAATTGTGTTCATGAGGAATCTATATAGATGTACATAAACCAAGAGGCAGTTGTTCGAACAGAACATGGGAACACTGAATGGTTTAAAATTAAGAAAGATATGCGACAGGGTTGTATTCTTTCACCATACATACTCAACCTGTATGCTGAGCAAATAACCCGAAAAGCTGGGTTATATGAAGGAAAACGCATCGGGATTGGAGGAAGACTCATGATATGCAGATGATACAATCTTGCTTGCTGAAAGTGAAGAGGACTTAAAATATTTACTGATGAAGATCAAAGAGCAAAGCCTTTGGTATGGATTGTATCTCAATGTAAAGAAAACAAAAATCCTCACCACTGAACCAAATAAACATTTTTATCAATGGAGAAAAGATTGAAGTTGTCAAGGACTTCATTCTTTTTGGATCAACTATCAATACTCAGGGAAGCAGCAGTCAAGAAATCAAATGATGTATTGCATTAGGCAAATCTGCTGCACAAGGCCTTTTTAAGTGTTGAAGAGCAAATATGTCAGCTTGAGGACTAAGGTGCACCTGACCCAAACCATGGTATTTTCAATAACCTCATATGGCTGTGAAAGCTGGGCAGTGAATAAAGAAGATCATAGAAGAATTGATGCCTTTGAATTATGGTGTTGGAGGAGAATGGTAGTGCCATGGGCTGCCAAAAGAACCAATAGATCAGTTTTGGAAGAAGTGCAGCCAGAGTGGTCCTTGGAGGCCAAGATGGCCAAACTTTGTCTCTCATACTTCGGACATATTGTTAAGAGGGACCAGTCACTGGGCTAACCTTACTTTTTGTTGCCATGCTTGAGTTCATTGATGCTGCCACTTAGCCAATCCATCTCACTGAAAGGGTCTTCCTCTTTTTCTCTGACCTTACCAACCAAACATGATATCCTTCTCCAGTGACTGGTCCCTCCTGACAATATGTCTGAAGTATGAGAGACGAAGTTTGGCCATCCTGGCCTGTAAGGAACACTCTGGCTGCACTTTTTCCAATACAGATCTGTTGGTTCTTTTGGCAGCCCATGGTTCTTTCAATGTTCTCCTCCAACACCATAATTCAAACACATCCATTCTTCAATCTTTTTTATATCATATCATTGTCCAACTTTTCAATGCATATGAGGTTATTGAAAATGCCATGGCTTGGGTCAGGTGCACTTTAGTCCTCAACCTAACATCAATCTAACATCTAATATTTAAACTTTCTTAAATGTCTTCATAATTATTTGAGTTATTTTTCATTGATGCCTTTTTACAATTTTGGTGGTGGTGATTATGTTCCGTGAAGTCATTTCCGACTCTTAGTCAACCTGTATGGGATTTCTGAGGCTGTAAATCTTTATGAAAACAGAAAAAGTCATTTTTCTCCTTCAGAGTGCCTGATAGATTTGAACTCCTGATCTTACTGTTAGCAACCCAACTCATAACCCACCATGTTACCAGAGCTCCTTCTTGTTAACTTTAATTTAAAAAAATCTTACAGTATTATAATCTAATGATAACTTGACAAAATTATTTACTAAAGGGAACTCAACATGGTAAAAGGAGATGGGTATAAAACTCTTGTGGTTCAATAGTGAATAATTGCTATAAGGACAGATTGTGAGTGTTGCAAATGTAAAGGTAGACATTTTGTAACAAAAGGAGGGGAGTGGTTGATCTTGCAGTCTTGGAGCAGAGGACCCTGGGACCATCAAGGGAGAAAAGTAAAATGTGAGACCCTATCCAGAGAAGCAGAGATGGAGGCAGAGACGATGACATGGAGAGATGGATGGGCTTGGGACTCTGTATTCAGGGAGGGAGAGGAGCTGTGTATTGATGGCCAGAGGACAGATTTGTGGAGTGTACCCTTTGGTTGTTTGAATGGTTATATATTACTGAGTGCTTTGGTGTACATCCCTGCCCCCAACCAAAAAACAAACAGAGCAGAGGGAATGGAAGCAAATGCTGTTGAATGATGATGCATGGAGAGGATTGTAGTCATTGTAGTGAAACGAAATACAACAGGTGGAATGTAAAGTTCATGTTCTCCCATGTAAACTGCCACATAATTCACAATAAAAACTAAAAACACTAAAAATAAAGGACTCAGCATGACCTATGGTATATATAAATAACCTGAAGGGTTTTTTTTTCCTTCAAATTTTTGTTTAATCTTGAATAATTCATTTAAGTTTTACTTGGTTAGCGATGGTTTAGTACATCATTTTATTAATGAAAAGCTAGACTAGAGCAGGTAGATTTTGAAAGTTGTTTGTTTTGGCAGTCTAATGAAAATAAATATTAACTTCATAAATTTGTCATGCAACTTAATAATAGCCATACTGTGATTAAAAGGGAAAGAAAATACATAGGACAGGGTCTGTTACAGTTACTGGAAGAAATGTTTCCTTTGGTTTTCAAAGCAGGGTAATAAAGTAAATATTTAGTATAGTTATACATGGAGCATAGTTATACATGGAGCTCTGGTAGCATAGTGGTTACGAATCGGGCTGCGAACCTTAAGGCCAGCAGTTCGAAACTACCAGCCGCTCTGCGGGAGAAAGATAAGGCGTTCTGCTCCCGTAAAGATTTACAGCCTCGGAAACCCTGTACAGGGTTGCTATGGGTCGGAACCGACTCGACGGCACTTAACAACAACAACAAAGCATAGTTATACAGGTAGCATAGTGGTTACGAGTCGGCCTGTGAACCGCAACGTCAGCAGTTTGAAACTACCAGCTGCTCTGTGGGAGAAAGATGAGGTTTTCTGCTCCCGTAAAGATTTACAGCCTTGGAAACCCTGTTCAGGGTCGCTGTGATTTGGGACCAACTCCATGGCACATAACCACTACCACCATACAACATTCCAAAGAAAATATTTTATACTGAAATGAAATAAAGGCGAGGAAACAAATCAGGTTACGTAAATAAGAGGAAAAAGTACTAATGTGAGAGGGCTTTAAAATGCTCATGAAAACATTTCTCTTTCGATTTCATTTTTCTACAAACTTTTTGAAGCCATATTATTATAAATCAGAGATGACCACTTTTATATAAAAATATGTTAATGTTACGACAGTTTTTTTCACAATTTCTCTCCTCACAAAATAAAAAGTGCTTAAAATTGGAAGCATTTGTATATATTGTTGTTGTTAGGTGCCATTGAGTTGGTTCCGACCCATAGCGACCCTGTACAGAGTTTCCTAGGGTTTAAATCTTTACGGGAGTAGAAAGCCTCATCTTTCTCCCGCAGAGCGGCTGGTAGTTTCAAACCACTGACCTTAAGGTTCACAGCCTGATTCATAACCACTACGCTACCAGAGCTCCTTAAACATACATGAGGAGGCTGCAAAAGTTGTAGGTAAATTGAATGAAAAGATACTGGGATTTTCCATGACCTCTTTGAAGCTCCCTCATATTTTTTTCTAATAGTGCATAGGACTATCATTTAAGAACAAAAACAGTTCTTCACAACTTTAAATGAAGCTATTTTCCATATTACTGAATCAGTACTTAATATATTAAGAATCAAAAGATTTGGCTTTTTTTTCTTTGCCTGTAAATTGAAAGAATAAATGGTTTTTACTGTGATGCAGTATTTTTTGTTGTTAGTCAATGAGTAGTTAATTTGAAAATATTATATATGCATGGATAGTAATGGTCTGAATTTCGTGATAATACAATTTTGCAGGATGCTAGTTGTCATGAGTCAAAATCAATTCAGTGGAAACTAAAAGCAACTATCATGGTCATGAACAAACTTAATTATCCTGTGGTCTCTGTTGTGAACATTTGGAATTAACACTACTTTGACTCAGAAACAAACTTCAAGAGAGACTCATATGAGCAGTGTTGACTTTTACGATATGTTTGAGTCAAGTCTTTAACAGTATTTTTAAATACTTGGATGTGGTGCTGTAGGATAAACACCAGACTGCGAACCACAAGGTTGGTGGTTCAACTCACCAGCTGCTCCTTGGGAACCCTATACAGGGTTGCTGTGAGTCAGAACCGACTCCACGGAACTTAACAACAACAAAAAAGCTAAGTAGACCTGTAATGCTAATGATGTACTTCCCCTGGCCTGTCATAGTGAACAACTCTTGATAACCAGAATTATTTCATTGGGAAATATGTGTATTATAATAAATATGAAAGGATTATAGTTGATATGTATCATGCAAACACACTTTCATTTTATTCTCTTGCAAATTTGAATCACAAACTTGTATATGGAAATACACAGAGTCTTGGTTACTACACTGAAAAGTATCATTCTGTTAGAATGATGGAAGTTTAGCTATGGCTGGTTTATAGTTTATTGTAACTTTTTTTTTTTCTAATTACTTGTGATTTAGGTGATAATAATATATATGCGCTGGACTGCAAGGACAGTTTGAACCTCAAGGTCGGCAGTTCAAGCTCACCCGCCACTCTTAGGAAACCCTCCATAGGGTCTCTGTGGGTCAGAATTTACTATAGAACTTAAAAACAAATCTATATGCATATTTGCATATATGAAATTTTATAAGATGAAAACACACATATACCTATTTACAGAAACTTTGTCTTTATAGGTGTCTCAACGGCCATCTTTATCCAGCTTAGAAACCTTAATGGTGTCGCAGAAGTCTGAGATTGAATATTTGCAAGAGAAATTGAAAATAGCAAATGAAAAACTATCAGAAAACAGATCTAACAGCATCATGGCAAGTACTGAAGGAAAACATAAGGTAGGGGCAGGTGTTCATATTATGACTTTGTCAGAGTGAGGCTCGCAAGTTAGGAGATGGGGAGAGTTAAAAAACAAACTGGAACCTTTTTACAAAGCATTCTGTGCCAAATGCTTGGCAAAATGACTGTTAGGAGGAGGAAGCTTTTACTTGTAAAGGCTGAATAATACCTTCCTGAGTAACTAATTGGGAGTCCTGGTGTGGCGCTGTAGGTTGATGCGTCAGACTGCAAAGTTGCTTGAACTGCAAGGTTGGTGGTTCAAGCTCACTACCTGCTCCTTGGAAACCCTATACAGGGTCACTATGGGTCAGGATCCACTTTACGGCACTTAAAAACAACAATAGCAAATTAATTATCATTCTAATTATACATATTATGCATTATATTAATTATTGTATTAGTAACCATATACCTATTTTGCCAAGAAACTAATATTTTGTATAAAAATGTTCCAGCAATTTTCCCTCATCTAGCTGATGTTGGCCATTAAATCAATTTTCTAATTTTAATTAACACAAAATACTTTCTAATGTTTTCTATTTTGTTTAGATCATGATAGTTACAATAATATAGAATATAAAATAGTGGATTTTAACATTCATATTCATACATGAGTTCATAAATATTTAAAGGCTAGCAGTTGAGAAAACTAAGCAAATGTTGAAAAACTTTAATATATATTTACATTGTCGTAGCTTTCCCTTTTATAATAAATTCATTATATATTCATATATTGTACAAATGATTCTGTAGAATGTTGTCTAATGATAAAAATTTCAAATCATATTGTAAATGCATTATTTCTAGATAAATTATAATAACATTTCCCTAACAGTAAGAAGTCTTAGACATCATTTTCTCTCATTTGTTTTATCAGCAGTAGAGGAATAAGGCTTTTTTAAAGTAGAAAACAGTGTTTTAAAGATGATTGTTTTAAGTTCTTGCTACTTTTTTCTTAGAGATAGAATAAGTTACTTTAATAAAGGGAGCAGTTCAAATTAGACCTAGGTTTCTGTGGTACTCTTATTTACCTCTCAAATATTATTAGTAATTTTTAGAGGGAGACCTTTTTTTCTCCCCTTTTAAAAGAGCACAAGTGGAGTATTTGCTTCTAGTTGTTTTGGAATTGTCTCACAAGAATTTAGCGTATTTACATGAAAAACATTCTAAAAATTGAGATACAATATTATGGACTCTTGTTTTCTTGTTTGCTGTATTGCTGAAATTTGAAAATGTAGTACGTTGGTGTTTCATTGCTTTTAATAAAAGTCAAGCAAATGAGACTATTTTGAACTGAATTTGGATTTCCTTTTTGTAAGGACATGCAGTAAATCTGAGCAATATGTTGCCTAGCTTAATAGTTGTTCTCACATATTCCTTCTCCAGATTGCTATATGAAGCTGTACATAATATAAACACACAGTCTTGTCTCTAGTTAGCCACATTATAGTTAATGACCATATGGTCATTATGGTATAAGATCTACTGTCTGTTGTATTTATATTCCTCAAGCATATTGTTCCTTCAACTTCACAGTGTGTTAAACTATTTCAAAGGGAAAAAAATCCTTTCCCTCTTGTTTCTGGTTGTCCTATCAAGTGTAACCTTGGACCCTTATAGAGCAATTAGACCAGCCTCTATCCCCTCCTTTGTAATGAGGTTTCTTGCATTTCTGAGTCTATAACCCTTTAGTCTCCCCTAATGGGACATCATTATTCTGAAAGAAACAATGTAAATGTAAATGAATATTCTCATTAACGAGTCACAGAGAAGCCTTTAGCGGTAGCACTGTGGTAATTCTGCTTGTTATTTCTCTGGTATTCCATGCAGGATTTTTTTTTTTTTTTTATAATTCATTATTAGTATTCAAAATTACTTGTTCTTTAATTTTGCATGTCTTTCATAATCCAGTGTTCGTACTAGTTCCACCATGCCCTTGTTTTATTCTCCAGAAACCACCTGTGAAACGCTCAAGGTCTTTGTCCCCTAAGTGCTCTTTCACAGACTCAGAGTTGCTGAGGAAGCTGAGGAAAGCTGAAAGAAAGATTGAAAACTTGGAGAAGATGCTGCAACTAAAGGTGACAATTAAAATATTTCTTTAGTAGTAACCTTCCAAAGATTGTTGTTGTTAAGTGCTGTCGAGTCGATTCCGACCCATAGTGACCCTGTACAGGGTTTTCAAGGAGCAGCTGGTGAGCTTGAACCACCGCCCTTGCAGTTCAAACGGCTTTGCAGTCTGGTGCATTAGCCCACAGTGCCACACCGGGACTCCAAAGATTAAGCCCCACCAAAGTAAATACATTTCCACAAATTACTATTTATAATTTATTGCTGGTGAGTTGAATTGCCTGTATAAAAGTATCTAAACAGTTGAACTTGTTTTTAACATTTCTGAGGAACATAAAGTGATAAACAATGTTTGCTACATGAAAACGAAATGCTTATACACTACTTGGAAATAGTTTGGCTTAAAATTGGGAATAACATTTTTCATAGATTCTCTGAGCCAAAAGAAAAAAAGAATTAAAGTATGTGAGAAGAGAATTTCTTGTGGTTCTTTCTGTGTAATAAAGACATGACAATAAAAGGTTAAAACTCTTGACCTAATTTAACTAGTTCAGGTCATTTGTAACTAGCCTTTATAGAAAAGTTCAATAACACAAATGTTAAAAAATATAAATAATATTTTTCCACTGCACCTGAACTTGTATCAGAATATGTGGTATATGAACCTGCGCTCTACCTGTGTTTTATAATTGTGTTTTCTTAGCTTGTCTCTGAAAGTTTGTATTTCCTAAGTAAGACTGTATGGATTCTCTTTCACGGAGATAATTGTTAATGCATACGAAGCCAATTTTATGTCACTATCGTGAAACCCTGTACAGGGTCGCTATGGGTCGGAAACGACTCGACGGCACTTAACAACAACAACAACAACATCGTGACATAAATACATTTCCTACCTAGATGAAAGGAAGTCCTAGTGTGGTGCTGTGGGTTAACGTGCCAGATGCAAAACCATTTGAATTACAAGGTCTGCGGTTCAAGCTCACTAGCTGTTCCTTGGAAACCCTACACAGGATCACTATGGGTCAGACCCCACTCGATGGCAGTTAACGACAACCTCATGACTCATTGGGCTGAGCATTGGACTGCTAGCCACAAGGTTGGTGATTCAAACCCACCAGCCACTATGTGGGAGAAAGTCAAGGCTATCTGCTCCCATAAAGCTTTATAGTCTCAGAAACCTGTGGAGCCGGGTCTACTCTGCCCTAAAAGATCACGTGAGTCAGAACGGACTCAGTGGCAGTGGGTTTATATGTCTATTTAGACTTTTTCCTTTTTCCTGATTTTAATGTGGTTGAATTACTCATTTGAAACTACTTGAAGCCCTGCATTCTTTGAGGTTATGTCATATAACTGAATTTTAAGTAGTTATGGTATACTACAAACCCAACACTTCCACACCATTAGTATCTAGTATATTTAAAGTTTATATTTGGTCACACGTTATACGACGAATACATTTTACTCTTAAGTATAAAAATTTTTGATTTAGGTTATATGTATTTCAGGAGAAAACGTGATTTTGTTGTTGTTAGGTGCCTCAAATCGGTTCCATCTCATAGCAACAGTATGCACAATAGAAGGAACCACTGCCTGGTCCATGCCATCCTTACAGTCATTGTTAAGCTGGAAGCTATTGTTCCTCCCACTGTTGGGAGTCGTCCTCTGTTTCTCTGACTTTACCAACCATGATGTCCTTCTCCAGGAACTTGTCCCTTCTGATACTATGTCTGAAGTATGAGAGACGAACACTCGCCATCCTGAAATCTAAGGAGTGTTCTGACTGTACATCGTCCAACACAGATTTGTTTATTCTTCTGGCAGTCCATGCTACTTTGAATATTCTTCCCCATTACCATACCTCAAATGCATCAATTCTCCTTTGATCTTTATTCATTGGCCAACTTTCATAATAGTATAGTAACATATGAAGTTATTAAAAATATCATGACTTGGGTCAGGTGCACCTTCGTCCTCAAACTGACATCTTCACTCTTGAGCACTTTAAAGAGATCTTGTGCAGCAGATTTGCCTAATGCAGTACTGCATTTGATTTCTTGACTGCTGTTTCTATGAGTATTGATAATGGATCCAACGCAAAATGAAGTCTTTGAAACCGTAAATCTTTTCTCCATTTATCTTGATATTATTTATTGGTCCATTTGTGAGTATTTTTGTTTTCTTTACACTGAGGTACAACCTATACTGATGGCTGTGGTCTTTGATCTTATCAGTATTTTAAGTCCTCTTTGTTTTCAATAAGTAATGTAGTATCATATTTGCATATTGCAGGTTGTTAATGAATCTTCCTCCTGATACCATGACCTTCCTAATATAATCCAGCTTCTTGGGTTATTAGCTTAACCTACAGATTGAATAACTATGGTGAAAGAATACAACCTGAAGTACACCTTTCCTGATTTTCAACCATTCAGTGTCTCCTTGTTCTGTTTGAATTACTGCCTCTTGATCTATGTTCAGGTTCTGCCTAGGCATAATTAAGTGTTATACTCATTCTCTGCAATTTTGTATTTAGCTTGTTATGATCCACATGGTGGAAAACATTTCTGTAGTCAGTAAAGCACAGGTAAACATTCTGGTATTTTCTGCTTTTAGCTAAGATCCAACAACTGAAATCAGCGATTATATCCCTTGTTCCATGTCCTCATCTGAAGTCTTTAATCTTTGGCAGTTCCCTGTCAATGTTTCAGTCATTTTGTATTACCTTAAGGAAAATTTAAAGAGACAGTATAGACATAAAACCAAATGGCCACCACTCGTCTGTCTGT